ATATCCAACTACGCTTGGCACTCGCCCTGCAAAGATTTCGCATCTCAGAGGTCGCAAACTTGCGGTGCACCCCTGAGGGACTGGCAACGAACTGACTACTGAAGGCACGGAATCCCTCCTCCTCCTCCTCCTCCTCCTGCTCATCCCTTAAGGTTAAGTCTTTTGCCGGGATATTCATGATCCCTGCAATATGTTCCGATCGCATCTCATGGTCAGTGGGCTCCGCCGATGACATGGGGAAGAAAAGAAGGGATAATGCCGTCAAGCATGCACTAAGGTAACACTGAAGGGAGGGGGCCGGCCCGCCGGCCGACGCACGCGCGCGCGCCGCAGGCTCGCTCCTTTTCCGTTTCCCTCGAGCCAAAATGGTATAGCTGCGGAAGCAGAAGCAGTCAGTACCTATGGCAGTGCGCGCATGGCAAAATAGCAGACAGGGCGAAAGGATGGCGGTGCGGAAAGGGTGCATTGACTCCCCCCGCGGCGGGGTCCGTAGAGCCGCCCCGACCCCCCCCAACCCACCTGACCCGTGCATATGCTCAGCCACCGGAGCGAACCCCAAAAGCATTTTACCGCTCAGCGGTGGTTGCCAGGGGGCGGAGGGCCGAAGAAACCCGACGTTCCCCGCCTGAGCTAATATTTCCCAGATCAGGCCACAATGCCCGTGAACGCCTGGTGCGCCCGCACCATGATGCAGTTTGGACCAGCATCGACTATGCCGTGCTGGTTCCATTGTGCTGCGTCACCTTTGCCAGCGACTTTCTCCAGTCACGAGAATCACCCCATGTGTCTCTGTTACTCCAGTTCCACTGGTTCGGATCCCTGGAGTAATAAATGTCCTGTCTATCTTCTCTTCTGCTTGAACTCCAGCCGCTTGGCTCGCTCTTGCCCTGGCCCTTCTCGCGCGGCCTCGCCTTCGACGCGGGCGGCGGTGGAGGCCCTGGCAAGGTACTTGGCACCCAGAGTCACGTTTGTACTTGTCGTTGTTTTCGTTCAAAATATACCGCCGCCGCGTTTTGCCATGGCCAGTGACTCGCTGATGCCGAGATACACGTACGTAGTGACCTTGAATTTCTCCATTCTCATTCTTGTCCGCGCAGTCGGCGGTCGCGTCGAAGACGCCGCCCGCGGCCGGCCCGGGGCCGCCGCTATCGCTCGCGCGGCCGCCGCCCAGCTCTACAGCCAGTCTTGCAGGAACAGCCTCATCAGTCCAAGATTCATCCGCCCACGACTGGCTTCTGCCATAATCAATCCAGCCAGCGTCGGTGCCCGACGCGGCTGAGCCGGCGGGCGCCGGACGATAGGGGGCGGCCCTATAGGGCTGCTTTTCTCCCCGGTACCTCGGCCTCGATTCTGGGCGAGGGTATCGCTGAGTTCGCTGTCCCGGAGCGTCGGCGCCGCTCGGTGCATTTTCCTCAACGATTGTGGTTGCAACATCCGCTGGGGACTCAGCTGGGATTGTCTCTGTGGGAGAGTCGGCTGGGCCGCTCTCCTCCTTTTTCTTCTTAAGGCAATTGGTAGCTCCAATGGCATTGTCAGCGTCGAGAACTCCAGAAAGGCTGTTGGCAAGACAGATCTTGACATTGAAATGAGATTCCGTAGACGTATGCATCAAAAACCATAGTTTCTTGGATGCCTGAGCAATTCCGTCTTGCGGTCTCTGATACCTCATTTCCTAGTCCTTTGGTCCATTCGCGAAGTAAGTCAAATGATTCGACCGCGGACCTAATCCGACAATCCAAGGCATAAGCATCCCTCATGACTTCAAAAGCTGCATTCGCATTGTTCGGATCACGCTGCACCTCGTATTCTGGAAATTCAACATTGATCCCCGCAGACATGAACAATAATATTACTTCTCGTACAGCTAATATAATCCGCCCCCATCTTCCGTGAGTGGGGACTCGATCAAATGGTTGATTCCATATTATATCCACGAGCTCGGATAATCCCGGCGGTGCATCGTGAATGATGTCTTTGTCCAACGGCATCGTAGTTGGAACTGTCGATACATATTCAAGAATGCCTTGCGTTGCAACTTTGATAACTCATTATCGTACTTATAGCTAGACATGCAACCAAACGTACAAACCAAATCAAGCCCAAAGGGTAGCATTTTCGTCGGAACAATCAGCTGATGACGCTGGGCTATTAAGTTGATTGCACATGCCGTCCGGCGTCGCAGCCTTCTCACGTGCTGATATTACTTCATCAATGCGGCTGGGCCGATGATGAAGTCCAACAACAATTCGGACATCTATATCTCCTACTTGCTTCGGCGCAGATGCTCGGTTGGCTGCATTCAAGCTTTCCGTCAACACTTGAACTGATGGAATTATTACTCCCTTTTCCGCTATCTCTTGTTCCCAGTGGTCCCATTTGCTCGGTACTGACATGTTCCCAATCAAAACAGCAAGTGCAGAGCATCTCCTCGGGCGAGCGTATTGGTCCAGATCTGGTGTCCAGATTAATGGCCACCACTGGGCAGCGGCTGGGGCATTGT